GGTCTGCTTTTAACTTGGACTAGTGTAACTCCTTCATGCAATAAACTGAAAAGAGCCATGCTGTCTAGTCTTGAAGTCCCTCATTTACACAGAGGTCAAGCAGGAGGTACCTGGCAGTGTCAAGCCTGAAACAAAGCAATAACGTGGTGTTTCAGCCAAGCCCACAGCCCTAAGATCGCAGACAGCTATATCTGGCCAGAAACTCCTCGCCTCTCCCTCTGCAGAGTTCCTGCCCTAAGAGAATGTCACCACCTCGACAACCTTCTGTGAATCTGAAAGGATGGGGTAAGGCAGCAACAGCAGCTGTGCCACTAGAGAGAGCCTTTGGTAGTAACAGAAAGATCCCCTGGTATCTCCAGGTGGGCAGAGCTTAGGCTACCTTCCCTCTGGTGGGGTGATAGGACATCTGGCTTTCCACCAAGGTCTTTTTGACCAGACATATCCTAGCTAAGGGATGTCCAAACATCAGAATGTGAGGCCAACCTTCTATCAGAGTTAAACTTTTGACAAGGGAACAAATCTCAAACGGATGTATCAGTTGTGTAGCTAGCTAGCTATAGAGCTTGCAACTTAACTAGCAACAGCTGCCCAGTGCCATGTGAAATAACAAACTGGTTTTTGGTTTTTTTTCCTTTCAGTTTTAATGTTATGTGTAATGTATTTAAACCCTTATTTAAATAAAACTTGTTTTCAGAAAAAAAAAAAAACCCACAACAACAAAAACCTAAACCTGGCATTTTTTTTGGTCTGGCTCTTTCAAATGACTTCTCCCTACCATTGCAACCCCATCACCAAAAGCAAAATGAAAGCTATAGAAATGTCCAGGAATAAGACAGCCATATTAACTACCACAGCAACCAATAGCTACTTAGTATAAAGGCTAGTTTTCTCATGATTCTGCAAGTTAAACCGAACTGGATGGAAGATTTTAGTTCACTCCTAAGCTCTCTCTAAACGGGCTTTATCTTTTCTGCCTCAAAGAAGAACTCCTTGCTATCATCTAAACCTGCAATTTTCAGTCTGTTTAAATCTCATTTAATTCTAAAGTATTTTGTAAGGACTCTATTACTAATATCAATGAAAACACGAAATTTTGTAACAGATTCTAAAACAGGTATAAAGCCATCTCTAACATAAAGCCATTCTTCCCTGTATGTCTACTGGGGTTTTGGGGGTTTGTTTTGGTGGTTGTTTTTTTTTTTTTGAGACAGAGTCTCACTCTGTTGCCTGGGCTACAGTGCAGTGGCATCATTATAGCTCACTGCAACCTCAAACTCCTGGGCTCTTTGATCCTTCTCCCTAGCCTCCTGAGAAGCTGGGACTATAGGCCTATGCCACCGTCCCTGGCAAATTTTTCTATTTTGTGTAGAGATGGGGTCTCATTATACTGTTCAGTCTGGGCTCAAACTCCTGGCCTCAAGAGATCCTCCCACTTCAGCCTCCCAAGGTACTAGGATTACAGGCATGAGCTATCACAGCCAGCCTCTATAGGTTTTTTCAGATGGGATAGTTGCCTCCACATATTCATGAGAACTATAGCATTTTAAAGTTATGCATGTCTGAGCATAAGAAAAGGTGGAGAACTGTCACAGGACATAAGTTATAGACTTATTAGGGACTCCATAGCACTAACCCTCCCACAAATGACATTACTTTGCATATATGAAATCTGCTCAACTGTTTCAGTATTTTCCCTATATGAAAAAAATGGCTTTATGTCAGTGTATTATAAGAGATTGGTTCAATATTTAAAAATAATTACTTAGGCAAACATGTCTCTGTGTTAAAATTTCAAATACAAAGTACATGTCTTCACAGTGTTTTATTATTACAATATATTATACTTTTGTAGAAATAATACCTTTAGGGTGGAGAAACACTAACTTCACAGTTAAATTATAAGTTTTACCTGTCTACAAGAATTTGATTATTCTTTTTCCAATCTTCAACTGCAGAAATTTCTTTTGCCTCCAGCTTCTGTTTCAAACTACTTATTTCTGATTCATAATAAGCTCGAAGATCTGCTATGTGTCGGGCATGCTTTTCCTTCAGATTCTGCCTAATCCTGTTGGTGAGAAGTAAAAAAAAATATATTAGTAAAGTATATCCTTCCTATCTCGTAAAAGAAACCAGGATCACAATAATACTCGTAATAAAAAAAAATAGTGTATTTCCTTTGCACACCCACAAAATATATAAAAGATGAACATACAAAAAGTTGACAAAATAAAAAGATTAATTTTTATATGCTCTATCTTAAAAGTGCTATCTCTAAGATTTTATACATTATTAAAGTTCAATAAAAATCACTTCATCATTCAGACATCACGGAAAATCTATTTACATTACAAGCCATTCACTGAAATACGTACTTAGACAGTATCACAGGATCTTCCATGGAAGTCAGTGAAATGCACTCTGCGACCCCGCGGGCTGTACCTGGAAGCTGGGACGGACTGACAGAGGCGGAAGCTACCGTGACAGTGTTTTCTTCATCTACAGTGTTGACTGAGATATCATTACTGGTGGCAGTATACACAGAAGGAAATGTGGAGCTGGTCCTGCTTTCATTTTGGAATGCATGACTTTTCCAAGAGTCCATCGGGGAAGCTTTTGTATTTGCAGGATATTTGGGGAATCCAGATAACTGAGAAGCAACATTACTTGCTTGTGAAAATGAGTCTATGTCAGAGTGACTGGACATACTAGGTTCTAGAACAGAGTCTGGTGAAAAGGATATTCTGTCATCAAGGGCATTCAAAAAGTCATGTGGCTGAATCCCTGAAATCTGCTGATTTGGCTTCATATGTAACGAGGGATCTAGAGTCAGTACCTGGAAACCAGACAGACAACAATAAGGTCTTACCCTCAGTACTCAGTTTTTGTCTTGCTTGTTTTTAAATGAGTAGGCTTTAGGTCTCCTAGAGAAAATAAAGCTTAACAGAAGTTAGAGTCAGGAAGCAACGTTCATTTTCACTCAGCAGATTGTTCACAACTTTACCTCTGGAGGATGATTTGGGTTGGAAGCAGAAGTGAAATTCCTCTCAGGTAACTGCTTGTTTTCCCTTTGTTTTTTATGATAAATATCCTTCAGGGATGGTAGCTTCATCTCATTACTAGTATTAGGCTTTAAAATATAAAACAAAATTATTTAAATGGTATTATCAACAATCAAAAACATTGACTGGTATCAAAATCAGCACCATAAAAATATTTTTGAGACATTTTAAACAAATTGAAAATCTAGACTGTCAGACTTACAAGTGTGGAAGTCATTGCCTATTATTAAGAGTATCCCTCAGGGCCGGGCGCGGTGGCTCACGCCTGTAATCCTAGCACTCTGGGAGGCC